CAAGGGAAGGGGGAAAAAATAAGAACCAAGAGACTCATGTAATGGTACAAGATCCCAATGATGAATGTAACTGTATTATACCTAAAATGTACCAATAAAGTTAATGGGGGGGGGGAAGGAATTCCAAAAGCAATAGAATATATCCCTGCCTTTAAAGATATAAAATGTTATAACATATATAAAAAATTAAAAAGGAACAATACAGAATATGGAACACAATCAGTAAGATACCCCAGGAGCTATATTATCAATTTTAGAAATGCAGAATCAAGTCATTACATCTTTTTCATGTAGACATGACACTTTTAAGAAGACATCAATAATCAGAGAGTCCCAGGCATAGTGGCGCACACCTGTAATCCCAGCACTCAGGAGGCTGAGGTGGGAGGATCGCTGTGAGTTCAAGGCCAGCAAAGGCCAGCCTGAACTGCATGGTGAGATATTGTCTCAAAAATAAATAAATAAATCAGAGAGCGTATTGAATGATAATCCTGAAACATTCCTCAGTTTCACAAACTAGAAATGGACCTATTTCATTGACTGTGGCTAGTAAAAATGAAAATAAAACTTTTATCAAGAAATTAAGAAAATACTGGTTTCCATATAGATATTTGTTTAAAATAAATATAAAATTTAATGCTAAGCTTCTGAAGTAAATAACACAACTTTTACATACTTATCGTCATAAACATAATACCATAGAATGGCTAACAGATCTGGCATTCTCCTATCAGTCCACCAAAGTATAAGGAGATCCAAGCCTACATTCAAGTTTGGAGCTTTAACTAGTACTAAAATTCAGCATGCCCATTAGTTACAACTTTCTTAAATACCGTTTCTGTCAAATTGGCTCTCACCCTCACCCAAGCATGTGACTCACTCTGAAGTCCACTGTACAAGAAAGTTGGGAAGCAGGTGAGAAACAAGCTAAGGTATCTAGGAAAGCAGTACAATGGTTTGTTAAATTAATCCTGAAGGAAGACTAAAAAAAACAGAAATCACCATGCCTAGCAAGAAACTGATCAAGGAACTTTTAAAGATGGTAATTCTCAAATGTGAGATGCTCATTAGAAAATAATGACAAATTTTAGACACAGTTATCAATCCACTTCTATCTTCCCACCACTGCCTTAATTCAAGCCACCATCATTTCACCCTTGAAATGCTACAACCAACACCTGTTTCTAACTCAGTTTTTATCCTTTTCCAATCTATTTTCTATAAAAGCCAGTTATCCTTTTGACCTGGCTTAAACATTTCAACTGCTGTCTATGGTAAGTCAAAACATCCTGCACTGCAAGTGCCTGTTGGTCATGGTCTTTGTTTGGATCTCCTACATGACTATATAATAAACTCTGTCAGTTTCAGATTCACAGCTGAAGATTCCTAGCACCTAGAACAGTCCCTGGCACAGTGAGCACAGCTTGCTAAGATTCTAAATGATACTAAGAAGGTTCTCAGCCAGATGTGGTGGTGTTCCCAAAAGGGAAGGGATAAGAAGGAGAAAAGAGAGAAACGCTAACACTGAAAAATATTTAACAGACCAAACTGTGAAAAAAAAGTACTAGATGCTGCTTTTCCAAAGGCAATTTAAACCTTTTTTTTTCTGTTAAGAACACTTTTAAGCATAAAGTTACTGGCCTAAAAGAAATAGGAATAGACCACACAAAAACTAGATGTCCTCTCAAATCTACTCCAGACCTGTATTTTAAAAGAAGCAGGAGAGCCAGGCTTGGTAGCAGATTCCTGCAGTCCCAGCTACTGAGGAGACTGAGACCAGAGGATCACTTGAGCCCAACAGTTCAAGGCCAACCTGGATAACAGTGCAGAAAGAAAAGGAAATGAAAGGAGGAATAAAGCAGGGGATCAAGTAGGGGGAAAAGTAGTGATGAGAAACGATTTCAGACCATGTCTGCCACAAGGTCCCCTCCTCTGACTTCCAGTTACGTCTAGCCCTTATGATGCCCTGCTAAGAGAATGGGTGGTCATGGCCACTTCCTCTATCACTACGGCTCCTGTCATCCCACCCATCCCACATCTCACCCTGGTTGTCCCTGCTCCAATGACTGCCATTAAAATTGCATCCTTCCTTTTCCCCATTAGGCAAAAAAAGGTAAATACTTCTTGGATTATCCCAGGTGTTCCTGATCCCTGAACAGATATCCCTTCTTTGTCCTTCTGTTTCCTTTCTGGGCCTTGACTTGACACAGTTTATGAACACAAACAGAAACAGGAGACTAAGGTTTTTATTGTCAATACTGTACCTTCTCCAACATTCTATTTTCCAGTAACTTTTAGCAAAAAAATTTTAATGTGGTAGATGTTTTACCAACTTAGTTTCTAGATTTTATTTCACTTTTAGTTATATTGTTATAATCTCTAAACTTCCAGAATTACAATCAAATAACTGAGTATCTTTGTAATTACATTCACGTCTTTGGATATAGAAAAATGTATTTGAACAGAGAGAAAGCCAGTAACAGCAAAATAAGTCCTGGTACAATTAGAGAAATGATCTCCAATGATGAAAACATGCAAAACTGCTAGTTTAAAATTTGAAGTTCATAAAAACAAGTATACACTTTTTGAAAAGTAAATTATATTACCTTCATTTACATCTTTTCAGATCCATTTTTGTTGTTGTTGTCATTTTGTTTTTGCAGTGCTGGGGATTGAACCCAGGGCCTTGTGCATGCTAGGCAAGTGCTCTACCACTAAGTTATACCTCCAGTCCAATAAGTATACATTTACATGTTTAGTAGGGGACTAATTGTCCATAAACTTAAAAATTATTCTAAATTCTTCTCATGAATACTTTGGTTTTATCAGGGGTAGATTCAGGCTTTGTGGTGCCTAAAGTTTATGTAGTTGTAGACAGGAGAACAACTTCTCTATGAAGAAAAATTTGTGCTTATAAAATTAGGGCTGGAAAGGACCTTGAGAAGCGAGGGCTCTGAAGCTTCAGCATCATTAGCTTCATGGTTAACCTGCCTCTGGTTATAAAAATAAAATACCATTTTGTAATTCCATCATCACTAAATTATAAGTGGGATGTTCAATACTTTTATTTTGTACAAAATTAAACATTTCAAATTTACTAAAGAAAATATGAACTCTTACTTGATATCAAACTTTAGTTATTTCAGTGAAATATTTGTCCCTTTTATAAACAATGGTAATCATACAATTATGTTGTGTTTGAAGCACACTAGAAGCAAAGTGAAGGTTGTAATTAGTTATTAATAACTACTATATATCTGACTCTAACTGAAAAAAAAATAGGTTTTTTAAAAAAATTGTTTTTAAAAAGAAGTAGCTGTGCTAAGCTAGCACAGTGGCACACTGTGGGAGGCTGAGGAAGGTGGATCTTGAGTTCAGAGCTAACCTGGGCAACACAAGCAGACTGTCTCAAAAAAAAACAAAAACAAAAACAAGTAGTTGTGCTCCAGGTTAGAATTCAAAGAAAATAGCTGTAACTATACAAGATGAAGAAGAAAATGCAGTTCCTAGTAAGCTAACTTATACAAGGCCAAGCTGCATTTGGTTAAAAGTGAAACACTGTTTAGCACAAACTGAAGTAGATTCATTATCATTTCTGCAATTAAACATTCATTTCAATTGCCTTTCCTCTTTACAGAAAACTAATTACCATGTGCTTACTAAGAAAATAATTATCTTAAAACAAGAATCATTTTGTCAACTAAAATTAGACTCTAAGAGAAGGAAACTGTAAAGCCTCACTTATCTTGGCATCTAAATTCAGGCAGCCTTAGCTAATGACACTCCTGTGCACTGGTCTCACTCCCTCTACCTCAAGGGAATAGAGAAGAGAGGAAAGGTGAAGAGGAGAAATCTTGTTTCAAACAAAATATTCAGGTTATATGACACAAAACCAAAGCAGTCATCTTTACAAGAAGCCATGCTGTTGAGATGGTGCTGACTGCATTCTACTGGCTGTCTGGGTGGGTTAGTGAGACCTGGGCACTCACTGGGCAGGTTATAGAAGTCCACCCCTCAGGGAAGGGGATTTAGCTTAGGGGCACTGCACCTGCCTAGCAAGCCCAAGGTCCTGAGTTCGATCCCTAGTACCAAAAACAAACAAAAAATTGGATGGCTTAGTATACAGGATGGCAAAATGGGGATTTAGTTCAGTGGTTCTGCTGCCTGCCTCACAAGTATATAGGATGGCAAGATGTTTACTCTTCATGATGGCCCTGAATTGATGGCTGAATATAAAACAGGCAGTGTGTCAGACATCTATGAACCGAATGAAAGAGAAAAATCAAGCCAAAAGGTAGAATGTTCTCTCTGGGATTCTGACACTTTCGAAAACTGGGACAACTGTTATCTTCCCCCTTCTTTTTATAACAGTAAAACAAGGACTGAATGAGGCACGATATGATGGCCCCTTCTTTTCCGGACCAAAGTTTCCATGCCCACACAGCAGCTATAAAAATGATTTATACATATAGAAACATGGTGGCTGATAAGGAATAAAATATCTTTGGGAAATGCTAAACTTGGCGAAAAGCCTCTTTAAAAATAAAAACCTTTGTGCCAACCAAGTCTCACCCTCCCTTTCCCAATGACGTAAATTAAACCAAGAAAAAGCAGACCATGCAAAATGTTTCAAGCTTAATGAAATGAATTTCTGATCTTTTAATGAAGTAGCATGAAGGTGGCAACCAAAAAATAGCTCTCTTGTAGTCTAATGTCTTAAAATCCACACGCTTTCTTTCACCTTGCATGTGTGGAAGAAGAAAGAGGAGAAGAGAAAATCACTTCCACCTGGACCACTGCTTTTCTTTATCTGTTAAAGGCACATATATCACCCCCATCAGAGGCTTCATTTTGACGCTGCCGTCTTGTAGCTTATCGTACTGCTCCAACATTTGGTTTCCACCTGCAGGACCAACTGGCAATATCAATCTTCCACCAGGCTTCAACTGGTCTATTAGCTACAAGAAAAAAAACACACACACATACACCAAGTTATAGATCTAATGTCACCATAAAACAATGTTCAGTGTCCATGTGCAGAAAGCAGGTATGTGCTTTATTTAGTATATACAGTCATTTCTCAGTATCTTGTGGAGGGGGATTAGTTCCAGGACAACTCAATAATACTACACTCCACAGTTGCTTAAGTCTCTTATATAAAATGGCACAGTATTTCCATCGCATATAACCTATGCACATTCCCCCATATACTTTTTTTTTTGAGACAGGGTCTCACTATCTTGCATAGGCTGGCCTTGGGCTCAAGCAATCTACCCACCTCCCAAGTAGCTGGGACAACAAGTGTGCCCCACTGCACTTAGCTTTCCTCATGCATATTGTCATCTCTAGATTACTAACAATACCTAATACAAGGCTTACAAATCACTTCATTTGGTTGGATTTAGCATAGGACTCAGTGTATAACATACTCAAGTTTCACTTTTTGGAACTTTCTGGATTCTTTCCCCAAGTATTTTTTATTCATGGTTGGCTGACTGACAGGGCTCCACCTGTACATAATTTGAGTGTAATACTATACTCAACTACCCATTACTCATTTACCTCTTACCCTCCTTTACTCAACTATAAATTCCTTGAGGACAGGGATTATGTCTTTGTACCACTAGCACCTAACACGGTACCTATTTAACTAAAACGCTCAAGTTTTAACTGAGCCACCTAAAGCAGAGCTATCCTCCTGAAGACTCTGCCAAGGACAAAGCAGAAAATTCTAATGCCTGTGTGCCTGCTTTGGGTCTCTATGGGATGGAAAGGATGGGGAAGGGAGGAGAGAAAGTATAGAAAATTAGCAAAAAATTCCTACACTATTGGCATCACTGAAGCAAAGAAAGAGAACCCTAATTACCTAAATGACTCATACCATGAAGAGGGAAGACAGAGTACTGCAGAATTTAGAATGAGGGGACCCCTGGTCATCAAAGAAGAACCAAGAAGATTTGGTGACAGGTCCTCCAGTCAGAAAATAACTAAATCATATGTTACCATCTGAATATAATCTTATAGATCAACTTTACTCAAAAGCAAGAAGGAAAAAATTGATTTTTCATATTATTACCTCAGAGAAGGGTCTTGGCAATTAAAATTTACTTGGAAAGTCTATCTTATACTTTTCATTTAAATTTTTTATCAAGGCAATATCTGCAAGTATTCTTTAGCTGTTTTTCTAAAAGTAAGACTTACCAATTTCTCCCCAGGCCCAATCTTGCTCCCTAAATCCAGTCATTTTAAATCCTTTTAACTATGTCATCTAATTTACCTTCATATTTCAAATTATATGTGAGATAAGGATTCAAGTTACATTGTAATTCCTTCTTCCAACCCAGTGAATTCATAATTTTTCATTAAAACCATTTTCAATTATTACTGAGTATTTTGCTGCTGAGCCAAGAGATATCCAATGATTGTTTCTCCTTTCTTATATAATAGTTTTGTTCACTGCATCTAAAATGGAGATTTTTTTCATTTTATTTTCTTTGTAACTATCTCTAAATCTTTCTAACCCCCAAAACCTTCTCAAAAAAATTTTCATACAGCAACCCTATGTAATTTCTGCTTTTTGTCTTTTTTGTATACTCCTCTCTAGGCCTTTTGCCCATCTTCCATTTTGGGACTTCCCTGCACAATAATCCTACAAACTCTCTGACCAAGATGTACTACTTCTTAAATCCCATGGCTTTCTCTTTGGTTTTTCCTACTGTACCTATTTTTCCCTCATTCCCATTTTTTTTTCTCTTTTCTTTATTTTTTTGTATAAAATTATTAAGGTAATTTCTCTGGAAGACTTTTATAAAATAGTGCATGAGAAACCAGCTTCTGGGAAGATGGTGGAGTGGTAAACAACAACAAATCAACATTCCAGGGCCTAGGAATCCAGACACTGGAATATAACAATCTGGGGAAGAAGGAAAGAAGTGGATCTCCAGGACAATCTAAAGGGAAAATTGAAGCCCACAAAGAAAGTGAAGAAACAGACCTCAATGAAGAAAAAGGAGGTGGTAAACTGCACTTTCTCCTCGGCTCCCAACACCAGAGAGGAGGCTCAAATTGACAGAGACACAGTGAGGGTGGGTGACTCAGAGGCCTCCAGGGAGAAATGGACCAGTGTATGTTGTGAACTACAACAGCTACTGAGTGACTTCAGTCCAAGCATCTGCCATGTCTCCTGGAGAGGGTACTTGGCCAGATGCCATTTTAGGGAGGGGCCAACTGAACCCAGAACTCAGAACAGCCATGGGCTGGCTTCATCTCAGGGATCCCAGTAACTGGGTGAGGGAAAACCTGCAGGACATGTCCAGTGTCAGAGAGCTGAGAACAGGCCAGCAAGAATGTTCTTGGCTGAACAACTCAGGCCCCAACACCACAACTACAGGCCAGAATCAGCCTGAACTCTGTGGGGTTAAAAGCTCCACATTCGGCACCCTGCACTATTCTTACTGCAGGCTTGCTGGGATTGTCCAGGACGGATCTGGGCTCTGTCTACCTTTGTCTACCAGTGACAGCAGAGACGTGCCATGAATCAGATACTACCACAAAACTGTACACCCCAGAAGATAACCACTGGCTTGAAATCACAGAGATATCTTTTTTTTAAAACTTTTTTTTCCCTTTTCTTTCTTGTTTTAGCTTTTTCATGAGTGTCAGTGTTGTTTTTAGCTTTTTTGTTTTATTTTGTTCTTTTCTTTTTGAAGCAAACATTTACTTGTACATTTTAGATACATATAATGATAACATTCATCATAGGGAATTTGTACCTGTACATGATATACCTTGCTTCTTTTTTCTCATCCCCCCACCTTCAACTCATCTTCCCCTCCTTACTTATAAAGCCTTTGCTTACATTTTTTCTTTCTATCCTTTTTTTTTCTTGTCCCATCTTTCCTTTCCTCTCCCCCCCTCCTTTGTTCCACTTCTCATTTTAACATTTTCTTCCTATTTCCCAATATGTATTATACATTTTAGTCCTTATTTCTACTTTCAGTTTCTCACACTAGAGAAATAATTCATTATTTACATATGTGTGTCTGATTTATCTCACTTAAAAGTATGGTCTCAAAGTGCATCCATTTAGCTAGAAATGTCTCAAGTTTATCCTTCTTTATGGTTTAGTACTCCACTGTATATAAAAAACTTATCTTCTTTATCCATTCATTGGTTGATGGGCATCTGGGCTGTTTCTAAGATTTAACTATTCCAAACTGTGCCACTATAAACATGGGTGTGCATATATCACTGTAGTATGATGACTTTAATTCTTTTGTGAAGATACCAAGAAGGGGAATAGTTGGGTCAAATGGAACCTGTAGTCTTAGTTTTTTGAGGAATCTCCACACTGATTTCCACAGTGGTTGCACCAGTCTACACTTACACCAACAGTGGAGAAGGGTCCTTTTTCCCCACAGCCCCTCCAGCATTTGTTATTGTTTGATTTCCTGATAACCGCCATTCTTTCTGTAGTGAGATGGAATCACAGTGTTCTTTTAATTTGCATCTTGCAAATGACCAATGATGTTGAACATTTTTCTCATATATTTACTTGCTATTTCTACTTCTTCATCTGATAACTTTCTATACATTTAAGATGTCCATTTTTGGATTAGGTCTTTAAATAAGGGGGTTCTGATCTTTTTAATTTCTTTATATATTCTAGATATTAATCCTTTGAGTAATAACAGCAAAAAAATTTTTCCCACACTTTGGGTTGTCTCTTCATTCTGTTGGTGGTTGCTTAAGACAATTGTCTTAAGCATGAAATTGAAGAAGTAATTTTAAAATTACCAACGAAGGAGAGCCCAGGCCCAGCTGGATTCATTGCTGAATTCTTCAAGAAATTTAGAGACAAAAAAAGAAAAAGAAATTTAGAGACAATCTAATACCACTGCTCCTCAAACTCTTTAATGAAATTAAAAGGGAAGCAATACTCCCAAATTCATTCCTGGAAGCAAGCATTACCTTGATTCCAAAACCAGAGAAGGAGCCAACCAAAAAAGAGAACTACAGACCAATGACCCTAATGACCATAGATGAAAAAATTGTCAGGAAAATACTGGCAAACAGAATGCAGCAGATAATCAAGAAGATCATACACCCTGACCAAGTGGGATTCATCCCAAGGATGCAAGGATGGTTCAATATACACAAATCAATAAATGTAATACATTGTATTAACAGAGCCAAGGACAAACACCTTAGGATCATCTCAATAGATGCAGAAAAAGCGTTTGACAAAGTCCAACACCCATTCATGATAAAAACCCTACAGAAAATTGGAACAGACGGTCTTTGTCTTAATCTGACAAAAGCCATCTATAACAAACCAACAGCCAACATCATACTAAATGAGCAAAAACTGAAAACTTTCACTCTAAAATCAGGAACAAGACAAGGATGTCCACTATCACCACTGTTGTTCAATATAGTTCTAACAACATTAGCCAGAGCAATTACACAAGAGAAAGAAATAAAAGGAATAAGGATAAGAAATGAAGAAGGTAAATTGTCACTATTTGCAGATGATATGATGCTCTACATGGAAGACCCCAAAAACTCCACCAAAACACTTTTAGACTTAATAACCAAATTCAGTAGCATAGCTGGATACAAAATCAACACTCAAAAATCAATAGCATTCCTATACATGAATAACAGACTCACTGAGAGAGAAATTGGGGAAACAATCCCTTTCACAATAGCATCCAAAAAAATGAAATATCTAGGAATCAATCTAACAAAGGAAGTAAAAGACCTCTACATTGAAAACTACAGCACTCTGAAAAAAGAGATCAAAGAGGATATCAGAAAATGGAAAGATATCCCTTGTTCTTGGATAGGAAGAACTAATATAGTGAAAATGGCCATACTTCTAAAATTGTTACACAGACTTAATGCAATCCCAATCAAAATTCTAACAGCATATCTCACAGAATTAGAGAAAATAATC